TTCCTGCAAGGGAAGACCCAAGGCATCAGGCCAGCTGGCAGGGAAGCATGCAAGGACCTTCTACATCTTGCCAAGACCCTAAAGCACATGCAAAAGGCACCATTGACTGGCTTCTCTTCCATGGTAGAGGGCTGAGGGAGTGTGGCAGATGCCAGTGCAATCAAGGGTTCGAGTCTTGTCCTTGACCAGCGCTTGACAGAGGGTAAGTCTGGACCAGACTGAAAGGTCTGGCTGCACTGACCCCAAGCAACCTTCATAACAAACACCCAGAGCAGGGGATCTCAGGTCTGCCTAGCCTTGGCTATTAGGCAGATAGAGCAGAGAGAGAAATATGCATAACCCCAGAACTCCATCCAAGATGCTTCCCCCCAAAACAAACAACACACACAGATGAACATCAGCATGGTATCCAAGTACTTTATTTTCCCTTCTTTATAAGTATTCTGTGAGCCACTGCGACCTAAAAATTCCACGGCCTGGGATCACTTTCCAGTCTCCACCCAGGAGGTCAATCATAGAGGCTGAGCGTCTGCAATTTCCCTTTCTTCCTGAAAACTAAGAGAACCAAGGCTCATTTAAGAAACCTAATTAGAGTCCTCATTTACCAGTTTCAGAAGGCTGAAATGTAGCTGTCAGAAGTTTCCAGTTTGGAAATGAGTTTACTCACTGTGGCTAATGGGACTAACTGCAATAGAAATCCCCTTACTTTGATGAGCACATATTTACTTCACAGTAGAGGTCTTTCTTTACTCACGAACTAAAAGTATTTCTAGTTCCCTGATTTGTATTTAAAACATTTTTTCTCCCTAAAACTAAGCACCCTGAACCACTGAATCTAAGGCTATAGGACAGTAGCTGCCCCTCTTCCTGAAGCAGCTGTTTCTGATCTGAATCTTCAGGACACACGGTGAGGCAAGCGGCTGCGTTTCCGAGAGCCACGGCTCCCACTGTGTGGACGCTGACTCCTACTCCACAGGAAAGGAAGATAGGCCGAGCTGAGGATGAATTGAACTGTCTCCCACCAACGCCCCCCTCCCCAATACACGCAAAGTCCCCTTCTTAGGTAGAAATGCCTACATACTTAAGCAGAAAAATAATTCCTGCCACATTCTAAGGACAAAAACAGGTTGCCAGTCCACGGCACTGAGCTGTGCCCCTGCAGTGTGGCGTCACTTTCTGGCAAGTTCCAGCACCTTCTTCACCATGGCCCCGATCCCATCATGGATGTGGTGGAGTGCAGTCTCGCACATGAAGGCCGGTGTTGTGACCACTTTGTTTTTCTGGTCCACGTGAGCTTCGTGCGCAGAAGTTAGGGAAAACACATCCCCAAGGAGGGGCAGAGGTGTCTTAGGCTGAGCCCCAGCCCTCCCACCACCCTGGCCTGTCCTACTGTCTTCCCAGCCTTTAGGGAGGTTATCTCCCGTTAGATCCTGTGCACCGAGGACCAATTCCTGCACTACTTGTGCTGCTCAGCTGAACACGGGTGTGAAGTCTCAGGGGAACGGGCACGGCCTTACAACACTCCAACACTGCATGTGCCTGGCCACCTGCCAGGTGGGGAGAAGGGATGTGCGCTGTCTCAGGGAGCCTGGCAGTCACTGTGAAAAATGCCAACACCTTCACTTTCTAGCTCGAGAGCCAGACCTGGAGAGCTGATCCCCGAGTGCGGGGCAGTGAGCAGCAGAGCGCGAGCTCTTTCCCAGGTCACACGGAACAGGCTCACCTCCACACTAGCCAAGACGCATGTCCCTGGACCTGTGCCCAAGTCCTGCTCATCCCCAGCACTCCCACCAGCAGCCCAAGGCCCTGGGGCCAGCCCCATCCAGCCAGTGAAAGCTGTGGGGAAGGAGACAGGACATTCACACCTCAAACTGCCTGTGTGCACAGACGCTACTCTAGACAAAGCGCCTCAGGGTGGGTGTTTCTTTCCAGTTGCCCAAGCGCTGACAGTGGCTGCTGCTGTTCCAGGACCTTCCATGGTTCTGAACTATCCAGCCGTCTGGAACAGCTCCTGTAGGAACACTTTTGGATCCTGGAGGCCAGGAAGCAGGGCCTGCTACAGACCTTCTCTGAGGCCCTCCAAGCAGCAATGCCTGTGATCCATCACCTCCAGCTTCTAGGACCCACCTAGACAGACAGCAGGGCTGTTGGGTCCACCCACACCAGCCTGATGATCTCCGGCAGGCTAAAGCAAGGGAGCCCCCGAGTGGCCCTTCTTCTGCTGGCCTTTGTCCTTGCCCCCTATGCCTTGCGCCCTCCCTTAGCCTTTACCAGTATGTAGGCAAGAGGTCATCCCTGGGGTGAGCGCCCCCAACTGATGCTGCTCAGAAGCAGACACGCCCTTGGGGCATGCAGGCAGCCCAGTGAATGCTTCTAGAACAGATCACCGGGTGGGCTCATGAGTTCTCATGGCCAAGCACCAGGAGTGAGCCTTCAGCATGACATGGTGCACCAAGTGCCCGCTGCCCTCGCAGCACAGGCGTGACCCTCGCTCAGGCATATGGCCGAGGTGCCCGTACATGGGAATTCACAACAAGAGAGGCTGCCTGCCAAGGGCTGAGCACAGCAGGGGCCCCCACACACCATGCACTATCTTGGGGACACACAAAGACCCGGCTGCCAGAAAGGATATGGTCACTTCCTTCACACAGTGTTTGGCACCCAGGGCCTTGATGGCCTCTGCGGTTCCAGCATAGGGCCACTTGCCTCCTTCCTCCTGCTCATGGCCCACGGTGACCTCGACACCTCTGAGCACCTTGGCTGCCAGGACAGGGGCGATGCAGCACAGGCTGAAAGGTGGAGGAGACATGTCAGCACAGGTGGAACCTCAGCTGGAAACTAGTGGGAGCCTCTGCCCCCTACCACAAACATGGGCTCTGGCATCTTGCAGCTTGCCCTCTCTACAAGCCAAGAGCTCCCCTGGTCCCTGAGTGCGGGGCTGTGGCCATCCCCACGGGGAGCCCAGAGTTCTGTGCAGCAGCCACCTGCTGCTGGCTGCACACTGAGTCACCAGGACATCCCAGCCCAGCTGGTGACCAATGGTGTGCAAAGAGTGACTCACAGAAAGGGAGCAGATGACAGTCATGGTCCTGTCCATCTTGGGGATCAGTTACGAGCAGCAGACACCACAACAGCACTTATTAGTCAAACCAGGTCCCCTTCTCTGGAGGAGGCACTACAGGTGAACAGAAAGTTCACTGCTGAAACCTGTAGCCTCGGCTGACCTCTGACCTGTGCTACAACCCTCAGCAAGTGCCCAGTTGAGTGGCTATATTGGCAGATCCCCACACAGGGTGCCAGTGGCTCTGCCCCTAGGTAGAGGCCACTAAGTAGTGCTCCATGCCCATTCGTCAAGCCTACCCCCAGGCCTGTCCTGTGCTTCCCTTCAGTAACCATGAGGGCCTCAGCAATAGCAGCTCCAGGGTGGAGCAACCCCCACTGACCCCGTTGTGTGGCTCACACCCACCAGGTCCACCTTGGCCGCCCTTCAAGGACACCTGCCCGCTGCAGAGCCACATCCCATTTCTGCAGCCTCACTTCCTGCTTCTCCCTCATCGCATTCATCTGGTACCGACTGTGTGACTCTACAGGCCCAGGGCAGAGGTTGCTCTGAGAAGCCATGATGAAACACCACCAAGATGCAGCAACTACTGACTAAAACGTCTTGACTTTGGAAACAACTTCTATCTGTAATCTATGAGATCAAATCTCCCTTCAGTCCTCTGAAGAAAGTCACTGGGGGCAATATCTGGGTGTCCACCTCATGAGGTAGATCAGGTGACTGGACCTGCAGACACAGTGCAGCCTAAATGCTGGTGTGCATCCCTGCACACTGTCGTCCTCGCCTTGTGCCAGCCAGACGCTGCTGCAGCTCTGAGCACAGCAAAACACCTACTGGAGTCTGCCCTGAACCGAGATGGCAGAGCTAGCTACATCCTTGCTGGCCATTGGAAATTCTAATACCAGCTGCAGAAGGCAGCCAGGTCAGCCAGAGGATGGGTCAAGAGGCACACTGTCCTGGAGAGGGCCTGTGAGGCCAGAGAGACAACAGTAGCCCTCTTTGGAAAGAGAAAACTCTGGAGCAAAACTCACATGAGGTTTCCTAATGAACCAAATGGCCAAGCCATGGTGCAGAACGCTGTGTCACCAGCCCAGATCCTTGAGTGCAGGAACCCAACAGCCAGCCCAGGAGCACAGCAGACAGTCCCTAAAAACTCCAACTCAGCAAGGCAACTGTTTACACAAATGGAGATGTGCCCAGCAGCAAAGGAGTTAGCCCTGTGGGCCATTGTCTTGTTTGACTATGATTTTGAATGAGTCATAGGAGAAGGACTACGAATCTCCCCATTGGGTCACTCATCCATCAGATGAACCTCTAATAAGGACAGCAGGGTCCTGACAGGCATGAAATGCAGGTACTGGAATGCAGCAGCTACAGGAACCTCCTTGCCGAAGGCCTTCCCCAGCCCTGAGTCTGGGAAGATGCAGATGCCCATTCCAGGGTGCCCCACACCACAGTGCCAGGCAGGCCTTGAAGGGAATGACTTCAGTGTTTGTGCATGATGTCAGCAGTGATGGATCTTCAGCCTCGGATGGAGGGCTCTAACGTAACCTTCTGCTTTTGGGTTTGCAAGAGCAGTGTGGGAATTGCTATTGGGTGGAAGGCCAGGAGACTGTGAGGGTCGCACCCTAACGAGCTTCCTCTCATCAATAAACTGGTGCACTGAAGAGATTCCTCCAACACGGTGACAGACTCCAACATCATGTAGGGCACAGCACTACAGCTCACAGACCTGGGTGAGCAAGGACCAATTGCTGGGTTGCTCAAGGAATGAGAATCATGAAAGGGTCACATCTGAAAATGCTGGACTTGTTCTCTCCCACCAGATCACCACTTCAGTTGCCTGAGAGCCAACTCCCGGGAGCAGACTGATCAGCACAGCCAGTTGCCTGGACTGAGGCCCAGACTTAAGCAAAGGTTACGCCAATGAATGGACTGGATGCGCCAATGAGAGCGAACGAGTCCAAGTAAATGGGGGCAAAGGGTGTGATCAGGATGGCTCCACGTGGAAGTGAGGGTGGCTCACTTCTTGTTTGGCAGCAGCAGAAGTTAAGGGGCTGAGCTGAGGGGGTTGGGGGGTTAAGAAAGGACAGATTGGGGACACTTCTGAAGCTTCCAGAATTATGTAAGTGTCAATAGGGGAGTGGAATAGCCCCTCCTTCCTGTTAAGTCACCAGAGAAATTAACACAACCACATGACCACGGAATTTCTGGAGCTGGAAGGCACCCATGAAATTGAAGGAAACCCCCAGTTAAAATAGGAAAATAGGCCAAGAGTTTTCAAGACCACATAGCTCAAACTGACAGCTCTAGCAAGAGCCAACCTCAATCTCGCCCAAGAGGCCTGCCCTGGCAATACCTACCCGATGGGCTTCCCAGCTTTGTGGAACTCTTTCAGGACACGTTCGACATCTTTATTGACGTTGCAGTCTTTCCCGTCTACAGCAAAAGTGCTCCTGGCACGAAGAAAAAAAGGCCTTCTTCAGACACCTTCATATTTGGTGTTGACTTTCCTGGGCTTCCCACCCTACCTCCACCAAGCACTCAGGTGTGGCTTGCTTTACTCCTGATCAACTGAAATGGCACAGATGTGTGTGGATGTATATAAGAGCATGATTTCCCATGTCATAAATAATTTTCCAACATATTAAATACTCTCTGCTTTTTAAGCTGCTGGCAACATGGAAAGCAGTGGTCGAGAGGCAGGTAGAAGGAAGGCTACAATCACCAGCTGGGAACCCCACATCAGGGCTCTGTTCTGTCCTGCTCTGTATTCTTGTCCTCAGGTCTAGGGCTTTTCTTTCATTCATGTTTTTTTTTGGAGAGGGTTTTGCCATAGGCGTGTACACTCACCAAAAAGACAGAGAGAAACAGAGACAGAAAGCGAGAAATCACCCCCTAGGGGGAATGGCCACGCCACAATCCCTTCTCCTCCATTCTCCTCTCAGGATCTTGGGCACACACGCACACGCGCCCGGCGTGAGTTTAAGCTACTGTGTCCCGGACTCGAACCGTGGTCAACTACATGGGAGTCCAGCGACATAGCCATTATGCTAACTGCTGGTCCCAGGTCTAGGGCTTTTCTCACAGGGCCATTTGCACAGGATTGGAAATCTTTTGGAGGTGATGAACACCTGTTGCTCTGATGTGGGGACTATCACAGGGTGTGTATGTGCCAAAGTGTGTCTAGTCACACTTTATTTTATTTTTATACTTTTGCCAGAAGGTGCATACACTTGAGGGGAAAAATAAAAGGGACAAGCAGTTAGCATAATGGCTATGTTGCTAGACTCCCATGTAGTCAACCGCGGTTCGAGTCCCAGACCCGGTGGTTTAAACTCACGCCGGGCACGTGTGCATGCGTGCGTGCCCAAGATCCCGAGAAGAGAATGGAGGAGAAGGGACTGCAGCGTGGCCATCCCCCCGGGAAGTGATTTCTCGCTTTGTCTCTCTGTCTCTCTCTGTCTGTCTGGAGAGCGCACGCGCCCTATAGCAAAAACCTCTCCCAAAAAATAAATAAATAAATAAAAATAAAGAAGGTGCATACACTTGCAGAGGTGGAAAGGCTAAGGGAGAGGAGAGAAAAAAGCACCCCCCTCCCCATGTGGGTATGGTTACACCACAATTCCTTTCTTTCATTTCTCCTTTCCATCAGGATTTTGGGTGCATACATATACCTGGTGGGTTTTTAATTTGTTTTTTTGTTTTTTACCATAGGGTACATATGCTCCCTGGAGAGATAGAGAGAGGGAAAGTGAGAAACCAACCCCCAGAGGGGATGGGCCACTGCAATCCCTTCTCCTCCATTCTCCTCTTGAGATTTGGGCACATGCACATGTACCCAAGTCTGGGACGTGAACCAGAGTTGGCCACGAGGGAGTCAAGCAATTTAACCACCACAGAACCTACTGCTCCCACTCCTACATATGGTTTTCAAGCTGCCACGGCCAGGATGTGAACTCCAATAGACCTGTGGGATCCAGTTCTCAATGTGCAGCATCTAACTACTGCCCAAGACATACCTTAGTTCATATAGGTAAATCACTCTCCAACATGAGGTTAGGAGCAAACATGAAAGACGGCTGGAAGCCACCTGAGCAACCACGAGTCACGAGTCATCTATCCAGTAGGACCTCTGCTGCTGGGAAGCAGCACATGAACCACCTACAAGCTATGCTACTCAAAAGATACAAAGCAATGTAATGTAATACAAAGACACCCAAGCTGCTAGTACCTGGTTTGGTTTTCGATGTACCGATACGCATGCACTATCTCTAGAGATATCAGCAAAGCTGGTAGCAGTGGATGGTTTGTGGATGGTAACAGGGTTCCCACCATCTATTTTGGTCACCAGTCAACTCTCCTGTTGCATGTGCACACTAAACCTTAGCAGCAGCCATAGACTGGCAGGTCCATGGAGGGGAATATGAGAGCAAAGAGCAGGAGGTGGCAGCTTAACTCACAGAGGAGCACGACTCAGATAAACATGCACTGATTCTGGAATGAGAGCTGAAACCTGGGCACTGACCCTAGAACAGGAGCTAAGATCCCCAAGCACACTGTTTCAAAGGTTCAGTAACGCCTCCAGGGCAAAGAGAGAAAGTAACGTACTTCACATTTGTGCTTCTGAGCTAATTCAACGTGGATCATCAGCCATGCTTAGAGACACAACTGCTAACAAACCCGCCAGCTGCCCTCTCAACCATTAGCAGCGTGTTAAACAGCAGAGATAAGGCTGAACGGTTTGTCAGTTTGGTTCACCCTGCCAAAAAAGAAACAGTGGCTCTGCAGGAAGTAAAAACTCCAGTTGCTACAGACAGTTCCCTGCCCATCTTCACCAGGAGTCTTCTAAAGATGGTGAGGACACGGGGAAGACTCTCAGGAAAAGTCCAGCACCTGCTATGCCATTGCTAGGTGTGGGGCTGAGGTAGGTCTGAGAGGGTCACTGGTTTTCGGGAGAGAGTGGATTGAGTGGCGGGCAGAGTGGCGGGCACTGTGGAGAGGCTGGGACACTGGGTAGACAAGGAATGGCAGCCTTCCACATCTACAGGTCAAGGGCGGCCTTGCGGTTTCAGAGTAAGGAAGGGCACAACTGGTTACAACCTAGAGAAAAGAACTACCTCTGTCCCTCAGTTCTGGGCACAAGATGCCCAGGGCAAAACAAGCGGCCAGCCAGAATCAGGGACAACGTGTCCACTGACCACACAAGAGAGGGGGCAGAGGATGAACACAAGGGCTCTATGTGGGCTTGACCTGCCCCTCCTTCATTCCTACCAAGTACCTGAGGCTGATGGGAGATGAGACCAGCTGTGGGGACACATGGGTGAGAGGCTCAGGTGTGAGACCTGGAAGTGAACAACATCCAAATTCATGTGATGGGTGGACACCCATGGGGGCAGGGATATCTGAGAGGAGGGCAATGAGCCACCTACAGAAACAGGGAGGCAGTGCATGCCAAGAAAGCTGGCAGGGTGTGACAGTGCTCAAGAGGCAGCACAACCAGGTGGCCGAAGGGAAGGACATCCACAGCCCCAGTGCAGGATGAGACACCTGAGTAACCATCAGAGAACTGCGACAGTGAGTAACACAAGGCCTGATGGTGCCCAGCCAGGGCGTGCTGAGTGTGATAGATAAGAGTGGCCATAGGCTGGCAGTGGGCTACATGAGGTGGAGGGAAATGAGGCCCCCCAGGGGCTGGGAGGACACACAGCAGCAGGTGCTGAAAAGGAGGCCAGGAGTCCCAAGTGCCTAGGTGACAAGAAGGCTTGTACTTCCACAGGGCAAGGGCAGCCAAGACGCCCTCATCAGAGGCTCCACTTGTCCATGAAGCAGGGGACACACCTTAGAGCCTGACTTATCATCCACATCATAAACCACCATGGCTGTCAGGCATACAGGCTGCCTCCTATCCCACACTGCGACAGCACCTTGGTTTCATGCTCCTAAAGATCCTGTAGAGCTCTATAAAACTTTCACTGGAGAGACCAGCAGTTGGCGTAATGGCTATGGACTCCCAGGTTGTCGACCATGGTTCGAGTCCCGGACCCGGTGGCTTAAAACTCACGCCGGGCGCGTGTGCGTGCGTGCCCAAGATCCTGAAAGGAGAATGGAGGAGAAGGGACTGTGGCATGGCCATCCCTGCTGGGGGATGATTTCTTGCTTACTGTCTTTCTATCTCTGTTTTTCTGGCAAGCACATGCGCCCTATGGCAAAAACCTCTCAAAAAAAAAACCTTCACTGGAGAATCAGCCTGGAGCCCATCTCAGGCAGAGACATGCTCAGGTCAGTACTGAGTGGGGTCCCATGAACAAGGTAAAGAGGAGCTACCCCAAAGGCAAACCTGATATGAAAGGCTCTCATTGTGTGGCCACTGGACAGGCCCCGTGGTTCACCCTCTAGTTACTGTGGCAATGACCCGAAGAGCAAAGCAAAAAATTGCTCTTCTTTTCTTTCAGAACTGCCACTCAGATTACCTAATAGGGACGACAATTTCTCAGCCACAAGGTCCTACGAGAAAACTGGTATCTGCAAGGAACAGACACTGGGAAGCCAATGTCACAGACATGTCAGCCTGGTGGTGAGAGAGGAGGTGCTCAAGCCCACACTGACAGCCTGCAGGGACCGGGAGTGCTCAGAGGAGGAAGTGGAGAGAAGGCCAGGTCCTCCTAAATGCTGCCTGAGCCCACTCTTGACAGCAGTGCCCCACACTAGCAGGTACATATGCTGTTTGGACTTTAACACCCCAACAGCTGTGTAGACCCCCATGCATCTCACCAGTCGCATTGCCCACATGGAGAACAGCACAGACACCATGTCCCAGATACGTACAGGTTCTTGGCAGCTCCAAAGCCTCCAGGAAAGATGGCAGCATCGTGGTTGGCTGCACGCAGTTCAGCCAGGCTAGTGATCTTGCCACGGGCGATCCTTCCTGATTCAGTCAAGACATTCCTGGGAAGAGACAAGAGGGGTCTGAGAACAGACTGGGCACTCATCTATACGTGCTCTCAGCAGGACATGGCACTTAAGGTTGCCACCTGCAGGAGGTTCTGGTTACCTGAGGCCTACACTGGAGCCCTTTGTGTGGGCACCTCATATGTGCCAGATTACTCTGAACTTCCTGCACCAGTTGGGACGTAGCAGGAACCAGAAACCACTGAGCACCCAAGACAGACAAAACTTGGGATGACAGGACAGAGGGCTTCTACTCTAAGCCCAAGTGAGGAACTCATCCTGGCCCTTTGCTGACTGCCAGCTTGTTCACTCTAAGAAGCTTAGCAGCTAAGCAGCTGTCAATGAGGAGGAGGGAAGCAATCCCTGGGTCAGCCACAGTAGGAGATGATGTCACCCTAGGCTTGTGGGACAGAGGGAGCCAGCCTAGGCTTCAGGAGCCAGAGGCCAAGGGCCAGGAGCCAGGGACCTGGGCAGAAAGAGAAACCATGGGAGTCTGGTTGATGCAAACTACTGCCCCCAGGAGGCAAAGCTGTGGTTCCTTTCTCACCTATCTCCTCAACCTCCAGCCCGTCTCTAGCTGTCTCAATCCAGTTGGAAGGTGCCTGGGAGACCCCTGCAGGACAGCTGTCATCCCACAGCCAAGCAGAACAGGCAGGGGAGGACATGGACCCTAGGGTAACAAAGCTGGGCCTGGACCACACACACCTCAGTAACAGAACACTGCTGGGACCCAGCTACTGTGAGAGGGGGGTCACCACACAGAGAAGCACCTCCTGTGGTACGGAGATGTGAGCAGCTTCACCCAGCAGGAGGCAACATACTCAACGCTCTCTCACTTGTCCAGTTACTAAAAGGCAAGAAACACTCTGAGCAAGTGCACCGTAGTTCCAGAATGGCCTGAGGAAGGCTGCCTTGAAGGAGACCCATTGAATGCACAGAATCAGGCCATGAGCTAAAGCCAAGCTGGCAACAGGGGCTGCGCTGCAGGTGCTGCGGGTGGTGAGCTCTTCGTTGGTCTCAACCCCGTCCCCACACCTGGTTTCGCCTTCAGAAGGCTGCCCCTTGGTATGGTCAATCACATGCATCTGAGGAACATCAGGAGCGAAGATCTGGACCTCGGCCCCTCCCCGGCTCAAGTGCACCAGGATCCTGTATGGGAGGAAACCATAAAGTGACAAACACTCTCAAACACACCCGATCAGAAGACTAGAACTATCGCAGTTTGTTTCTTTTTAATTTTGAGGGATTTTTGCTATATGGTGTGTGTGCTCACCAGAGACACAGAGAGCAAGAAAGCGAGAAATCATCTCCCCAGAGGGGATGACCAAGCCACAATCCCACACAATATACACTCTCCCTGGGTGAGAGGCCAAAGCCACAATCCCTTCTCCTCTATTCTCCTCCCAGGATTTTGGGCACACATGCATACATGCCCAGCATGGGCTTAAGTCGCCGGGTCCGGGACTCGGACTGCGATTGATTACCTGGGAGTTCAGTGATGTAACTATTATGCCATCTGCTGGTCCCATTAACACAGTTTATAAAATAAGGTTTTGACTAAATGCCAGATATAAATTTCTAACATGAGATAACATCATACCTGCTTTGCCAAAAGTTATGGATGGTTTGCTAACTACCTAAATGCGCACAACTGAACAGCCACTGGTGGGTCATGACAGAAGTGTCGAAGTAGGCAACAGAGATAACCTGGCCCCAACAGCTCCCTTTAAAACTGCGGTGCAGGGGGCTGGGTATGCTATGGCTAGGTGCTCTGCCTCTACCCAAGACCCACCTGTCACTCCACAGGCCTCTTGCAACAGAACTCCAAGAGAACAGCAGCAGCATGGACAACATGCTTGGTTACTGCCCAGTTAAGTGCAACCCCTAGTCTTCCTCCCCAACTTTCCCATCACAGGCAGAACAGGAGCAGGCCAGGAGCTCCATATCCCAATGGCAACAGAGAGTCCCTACTAGTGGTAACAGGTGATGTTTGAGGGTCATTTAGAATTCTAAATGCCAACCAATAACAGTTAACTTAGTCCCACTCGGACACGGGTGTCATTGCCCCGACACAGAGGATGCTGGTACACAAAGGGTGGTCACTTGCCCAAGGTCACAATCAGCACCTGGCAGATAGGATCTGGCCCTGGTACTTGAATTTCCATACCCGTAAGTTACTCCCCCAGGAACCCGACACAGTGCTTTGCTGTGTCCACCTTGGAGGTCTCAAGCTATTTCTTGGCTAGATTCTGTCCCACTGGCCCTTTCCTACCCTAAGCCCAAGTCAGGAACTCATCCTGGCCCTTTGTCAACTGCCTGGTCACTCTAAGGCCCCCTCTTTGGCTAGTGACCACTCAGACCTACACTGGCAACACTACAGGCCCCTCTCAGTGGCCTGGCATTCCTCAACCACCACCCAACTCTCCCCTCTACAATTTACTCTGGGAGATGCAGTGATCTGGCCTCTGGGATCCTGCTCATGGTAACCAACCCCCAATAAAAGAGACATTCAGAACACAAACTACTCAGCCACAGTAATAGCTGACTAGTTAGGTAAACGGTGATCTATTTATAACCCAGGACACAACACACACAATTGTTAAAATCATGCTGCAGAGAACTGAGTGCACAGAAATACTTGCAAAGTGCAGGCAAGTAAGATCCTGACGTTTGCAACATGCCTGTGTACTGAAAAACGCTCAAGTGAAATGCTGAGTGGCTATCCCTAGACAGTAAGTGACAACTCATAACCTCTATTCTTTAATGTCTCCCTGTAGTTTACCATCATTTTTGCCCTTTCATTCAAGAAAGCATATTTAAAAAAAGACTTCTCCTTAAATGACTGGAGAAAAGGCAAACTGCACCTGGAGGGGCCCTTTCCCAGGACTTACGCCGAGGCCTCGTGGATCTCGGTCCCATCGTAGACTCCGCATCCTGACAGCACCTGCAAGAGGAGCCAGAGCTGACCTGGGGTGGGCCGACTCTAACTCCTGGACCATCGATTGCAAACAATTCCTCAACGTCAAGCACCCAGCCCTCAAGTGTCAAATCCTTATAAATGTCTTTTTCTTAGCTAGTTTGAATCAGGATCCAAGGACCCAAACTGTCTTTACACTGTGGCTAGCCAGATGCCCGTCCACCTCCCTGACCCTGGGAGGCAGCAGTTAACAGGGAGTAGGGGCGAAGGGAGGAGACCTGGGCGAAAGGGACGACCTCCGAAAGGCGGCGAAGGGGGCGGGGCCGACCTCGGCAGGCGGACCCACCTTCCCGCAGCCCACTCACCAGCGCGACCTTGGCCCCGGGGCGCGGCGCGGAGCCGTGAAGGGCCGCACACG